GACATGGATTGCCAGGTAATAAATAAATCTGTCTTGGAAGAAAGACCTTCAGAATGCTACTTAGAAGTAAGGATAGCAAGACTTCATCTCTTGTACTTTGGACCTGTTATCAGGAGGGACCAGTCCCTGGAAAAGGACATCATGCTTGGTAAAGTAGATGGTAGCAAAAGAGAGGAAGATCTCCAATGAGATGGATTGTTAACAGTAACTACAACAATGTGCAGAAACATAGAGACAATCATGAGTATTGTACAAGACCAGGTAGGGTTTCATTCTATTGTACAGAGTCATTATGAGTTGGAACCAACTTAAGGGCACCTAACAATGACAACAATATTCATAATGTTTTAATATGCATTACAAAGTAGCACCCATTTGTTATTATGAAACATTGTATGTACTTCAAATTTTTAATATAATAGTCTTTATGGGGACTTTATAAGTCCATGAGAGTGAAAATACGACCTTGAATATATCCCACCTGAATTTAGAGATCATCTGAAGAACAGATTTTATACATTAAACACCAAAGACCAAAGACCAGAAGAGTTGTGGGATGACATCAAGAACAGGAAGAAAACAAAAAGTCATTAAGAAGACAAGAAAGACGGAAAAGATCTAAATTAATGCCAGAAGAGACACTGAAACTTGTTCTCCAGCTTAGAGATGCAAATGGATGAAATGAGGAGGTACAAGAGCTGAACAGAAAACTTCTAAGATCAGCTCGAGAAGACAAAGTCATATATTAAAATTAAATGTGCAAAGATCTGGAGTCAGAAAACCAAAAAGGAAGAACACACTCAGCATTTCTCAACTGAAGAAAAAATTCAAGCCTCAACTTTTGTTATTGAGGATTCTCTGGGCAAATTATTGAATGATGCAGTAAGCATCAAAAGAAAATGGAAGACTCGAGAGGAGAGTGGAGCTACCGGCTAATGGGAAAAGAGGACATATGCACAGGAGTGCCCACACTTGCAAATGATACCCACGTGACCTGGACCGGATGACTGGATGATC